TTCTCGTGCATGCTTGCAGCAGGTGTGCGTTGCCTGCGATGTGGTTGATGGCGCCTGAGGGGGAAAGCGAGGCGATGTCGACGAGAGAGCGTAGACAGCTTTCGATGACGGGGTTGGCGCCTTCCTTGTTTCTAAAGCGGACGCCGTCGAAACAGACCTTGATTAGCAGCGCGACGTGCTCTTCGTCGATTGAGCGCAGGTAAGCGCGGATTTTGTCGCGGGTCTTGATGTCGTTCCAGACTTGGGTGTCGAGCTGCTCAGCCCATCCGGGGACGAGCGGGAAATCGGGGAGCGCGGCGACGAACAAGGCCCTCTTGACGTACTCCACGGCTACGGGGTACGCCGAGATCTTTTCGCCTTCAAAGTTCTGAATCGTCGCCTCATCCTCAAACTCCAAGTTGTACTTCTTCGTCGCGCTAGTGAAGTCGTCGCTGGTAAAGTCGTCCGAGATCTTTTCGCAGAAGAAGTAGACCATCAGCTTGATCCAGTCCGGCATCTTGTGGTCCTCGCCGTCCCGGTACGTCCACGGGTCCAGGCCCTTACGGCCCTCCTCGACAACTTCCGTCCTCTCGCCCCTGCGTCCAGCGATGGCGAGAATGTCAATCCATCGTCCCCTCTCGTCCCACGATGCAATGGTCTGATTAGCCCACTTAACGGCCGAAAAGCGCGCGCTACGCACCGCGGGAGCGTCTTCGGACAGGTTCATGTAGTGCAGCAGCAGGGAGATGAGGCTCACGTTTCCGCTGCCGCGTCCGTCGCCGCTGACGGTCTTGGGGTCGAAACTCCTTGTCAGTCCCGAAAGCGAGCCCTCGATGTTAACAATCGTCTCGTTCGTGGGATCCTCTGAGAGGGAGCGGAACAGCCAGCCGACGAGGTGCAGCTTGTCCTGTGCGGACCCGGGGCTTCCCATTCCCAAAGAACCCAGAAGATCGTAGGCCATGGCTCGAAGGACCTCTTCGTCTGCGGACAGGGTGCGTGGAGAGGGCCAGCCTTGGTCCTCGACGTATCCGCGCATCATGTCGATGAGCTTGGAGCCAATCGTGAACGGTCCTTGGGTCGGGCCCCGCGTTGCTGTCCAGTTGATGAAGTGGAAAAGGGCCTTGTGGAGCTTGTTTCGCTCGAGGCCGCTGGCAGCTTGGAGATGGGCAGGGGTGTTTGAGGTAGTCTCGGTGCCGAAGTCCAGGGTGACAACGGCGTGGATGCGGTCGTGCATTGTCGTCGCAAGCGTGGACCTGGACAGCAGACCGAGGATTCTAATGCGGTGCGGCGCCGGAAGTCTAGCGTGAGAATTGTAAAGCTCCTCGACAATCTCCTTCTTCTCAAAGTCAATCGTCATTCTCTTTAAAATGTCCTCTCCAACCTGTGAAACCTGGTAGTCCGGGCTCGCGGCAGCAGACAAAGCGGGCAAAAGCCTCTCCTCGTCCTTGAACGCTCCGCTCGCCAGCAGCTGCGCAATCTTGCGGCGCAGGTCCTGCATCTTCTGGAACGCCGATGCCGTGTCACGCTGCTCAGGCTTGAGAAAATCCAGATCCTCCGGGGCGAGTGCAGGGTTCATCCTCTCAAAGTCCTGACGGCTGGGACTTGAGCCTCCGGGGATTCTCAGGAGGAGCACCTTGCCGAGCCATTTGGCGATGAACGCGGCGTCCGCATCGTCGGTCAGGCCGCTAGCCTCGCGGAATGCCATGTCCTCTTCGCTACCGCGTGATGGAACCTGGATGTCGGGGAGAATCTTGAGGAGGACGTTGAACATGGATGCTTGGGTCGGCGACGGTGATGAGATGCCCTCGGCGACTTTGCTGATGAGGGCGCGGCGGTCGTAGTCCTCCATACGGCCAATGCTGTGCTGGATGAAAGACATGTCCAAGACGCGCAGGATGGGTGATGTGGCTTTCTTGTACTGGTCGACCAGAGCCTCAACTGGCAAAATGATGCTGTCGCCACCGTCAGTCTGGCCAGATCTCAATCAAACCGGCAAAACCGTAAGGGGACGACCGGCATACCTCGGATGCATGATGAGCGTCTTCAACTTTCCAGCAAACTGGATAACCTGCGGCAAGCATGAGAATCAATTGAGTCCATCAAAGCCGGGGGGTTCTCTCACCTCATTGCGAACTGATGCATGGTCGCTCGTCGCCTTCAGCAGCAGGGCGCACAGGTACTTCTTCAGAATGTCGTTGAGCTTGTCTTCCTTGTTCGAGGCCTCGAGGATCCGGATCTGGACGGTCCCCACGAGCCTCTTCTCCCGCGCCTCGGGAGATTCGCCCGACATCTTGAAGCTGTAGTCGCGGCGATCTCTTCTAATGTGTTGTTGAAGGTCAACGATGATGATGATGAAGGGAAGTCGGTCCAGGTGTGGGGGTACGGGTACATGTACCACGTTCGCTGGGCCAGGCGGTCGTGTACCCGACGTGGCTGGTGGCTGTGGCCAAGTCGACGTTGCTTCCGGCTGCCTGTAGCTTATTCAGCTGCGTCTGAAGGGTTCCAGAAATTCCGCTACAGGGGTGCCCCGCGGTTCCCAGAGTGGCTGAAGCTCCGAAACCGGTTTAGCGACCTGTTGCGGAGTTCTGTTTGCGGCGACTCAGTCGTCTTGAAGTTGAGTATTGATAGATTTTGGGGGATGGAATGAAGTTGAGGAGAAAGATTGTGGTTTCAAAATGAATCGGAAAAGAGGTGGAAGCAAGATGAAAATCCAGGTCTTGTACAGTAATTGACCTAGTGTGTGTGTTTGTTCCTGTTCGAGGCGGGTGCTCTCAAACTTACAAAGCGGGTGCACTCGCCTTCATTGACTTGTGACCACTTTTTCTACCTTGCTCACATGGCGAGAGCTTATCCAGGACCAAAAAGGCGAGAGCATCAAGTTATCAAGTCTTCAAATGAGACTTCCCAAAAAAGAAAAAGAAATGAGTAGAGAAGAGAAAGTACCCAGGGTGACATAATTGCTTATATATGATGGATTAGGTCAGAGTGTCTTTAATCCTGTTCTTAAGCTGGGTGCTGTTAAGGTTGCAAGGCACACCTTCTAGGGGATTCAGTTGTGCCCATTTTATCTATCTTGCTTGCAGCACTGTGAAGGCAAGAGTTAACCCAAGACCCAAAAGGCGAGAGCAGTGGGCTTTTAAGTTACAAGAGATAACAATGACAAGGCATGAGGCGGGTGCTGACAAAGGCATTGAAGTGGATGCACTCGCCTGCATTAAACTGTGCCCGCTTTGTTTAACTCACTCAAGAGGTGGGAGCTAACTTCAGGTAGTGAGCTTCTACTTAAGGTACCCTATGCTTCAACACAAATAAAGAAAGATGCTTATATTTGTTTGGAGAATGATGATGTACACGTCTGGCCCACCCCAGATGCTCTCGCACGGCGGCTGCCACTAGAGTCAGCCTGGGCAATTATCCCAGTCCCCTGGATATATATACTGCGCTCGTCTCACTGGAAGGAGCACCGGCTGAAGTGCTGTTACTGGATTTCCATTATTACTGAATGTCCTTTTTCGGGGTGGGCCATGAAAATCCGTCAACATATTCGTCTAAAGAGTCCTTATCCCTGGATTCAGTCTCCTTATCAGGCCTAAACGAGTTGCTGTAAGGTACACATGACCAGACTCGCTGTGGACAGTCCAACAATCAGAAAATGTGATTGAAGCGTTCCATGGGTGGGTGTTCTGACGACTCCTGCTTATCCCAAAACCTCAAACCTCACAATTACAGTTTTGAGCTTCAGCGAACGGAGCGTCGCTTATAATGACTTTTGTTGGTTCTGATAATGCAGATTCGCATTCGAGAATGAAATCGACGTCATACGCCCCCGATCGCCATCCACTAGATAGATCGTAGAAGTTAGGGGTCAAAGTATTGGCCGTGCTTTCCAGAGTTGTTTGTACTATGGTATGATGGGTAAGTAACACCTGTGGAGCTGATATCGTGAGGACTTGCGGCCCACTCGAGGCTTTGGATTAACTGCTGAATGGCTGTGTGAGCGATGTATCGGCCCTGGGTCGCCTAGCTCGCAAAACCCTGATACTGTGTTTTTATTTTGGCCTGGTATCGGAGTATTGGTTTGATGCTTTAAAAAGGATGCCTGTGACTTAAATTAGACGTCACATTTGAGGCGATACCGCCCGCAAGTGCGACATGGATATGCAGCTTTGCGATGGCCTGGTGCCGTTGCTTCTTTCCACGCCGCCCCCTGAGTTGTCCGAACCATGTAAGAGCTAGTGCTCAGCATAACCCAACGGCCAAATCAACCCATCAAACAATCTCTGCAATGACGCCTTCGGAACACCCTTGCCTGGCCAAAACGGAATCGTAAGTTTTTGAATACATTATCTCTCTTTCTCCAGACCAGCCAATTCCTAACGAGAGAACAGTGCTGTATTTCCCAGCCAGAGTACAAGACGAGATACGACAAGGGCTGCACGGATAACCAGGGTAAAGTTAACCAAATCACCGACTGCTAAGGGAAGTGACGAAGTTGTGTACCAAATTTGTCTGCAGAGCGCTAGGTCGATACTATGGATACATGAATGATTTGATATCTTCTCGAAGGTGCAGTTTAAGCCGAGTTAAGCTCCGCAGGGTACCATGTCTCTAGCACATATATTTTCGAAATGCCTCTTCTTCCACCAGGAGTTTCCACACCGGCTCAGATACTGAAAAGATTGCATCAATGGCTCGGGGGGCCGCAGATGTAGAAGGAGCCCCGTCTTCATTACTCTCACGAGCCTCTTCTGGTGGAGATGATACCATCAGCGCCAGCCCATCCATCAATGACACCTCCGTGAAAGGAGGAGCAACGAGAGCCGGACCGACCGAGTTTCCATCAACGTCTGTCTCAAAGTCCACCCCGGAATACATCTCGTGTCTGGACCACTGGCTCACAACAAAATTCCCAGTGCCGAAATCGAAGTCCATTTTGAGGCGGCTCTTGTCTGGCTGCGCCGCAAACCAGTTCGTGATATTTTCCATGTTCGTCTTGTTCATCGACCGCACCAAGTTATGGATTACTTCGGCCACCTGCCAGAGCTCGCCATCTGCAAGTATGGAATGATCGATGCGGGTGAGGATGGAGAGCGACGCATTGCCAAAGTATCGAGAACCCAGACCGAGCCTCGAAGGATCACGAGTGTCGATTGAACCCAAAAGCCCTGCCGTAATTGAGAAGCGGCTGATGACGACGACACGCCCTGCATGTCGAGCAGACGGAGACGAGCTTTGTAGATGGTCTGGCAGAGGTACGCAGACACTGACTCAAAGGCGGAGACCCAGCCCTGGCCAGAAGGATTCGTTGCCTTTTTCTTGAGCAAGGTAAGGTGTTCACTGGAGAAGTGCAAGGTGTGACCGACGATAGGGTCCCCATCTGCTGGAACAGCACTCGGCGCGTCGACCGGGACCGGCTCGGGCTTCTGATCTTGGGCGTACCAGAACAAGGGGTTGCCATCGAGAGCGGCACGCCTTTCTTCCGCAGACATGGCATCGGGCGCTGATAGGTAGTAATTGAGATCCGGCGGCGATGGCGGAGACGAGGATCGGTGAATTGTCGCCCAGTCTCGCACGAACTGGAAGAAGCCGCCAGCGTCACAGACCATATGATGCAGGCGGATCCCCAAAGCCACTCCACCGCACGCGAAGCGAGTATGTTGGACTGCGAGGATGGGGTCCCGGCAGATGCCTTCAATTGTGGCCTCGAACGGCGGCATCAAAGCGTTGCCAGAGCCCGGCAGGTTCTCAACAATTATGCGACCCGATCTGCTCTGCGCAGCGATGTCGGTAAGGATTGCGTCGCATTCTGCCTGCAAAAAGACAACGCCTTTTGAAAAGTTTCCAATCTCGAATGTGTTGGAGCTTTTGTTGAGTTGAAACCGACCGGTGAGATGGGGATAGTGGGTGAGAAGACGTGTAAGTGAAAGTTGCAGTGCCTGCGCCGTCATGAAGCTGTTCGCGGGGCTGCTTTTGGGCCGTTCGTAGACAAAAACTACGTTTGTCGGAACAGTGGGAAAGACCATGTGATCGATAGGTCCGAGAAGCATCCGAGATCCAAGTGTTGACTCGGCCTCGGGGTTGTATAGCTCAACGACAGAGACGACAGAGACGACAGGGATGGTCATGACGGGCGCGTCAATGAAGGGCAGGAATTATGTTTGAGAAGCACGTCCATTTGCATTTTTTTTATTATTTGCGTATCATTTTATATAGAGACGACTCTAGAATTTCACATCTATTTCGCAGTAACACTGTCTAGATCACTCGTCTGAACTCTGAAATTGCTCATTGTGAGTCATCTGCTATAGTCTTGTAGCCCCCACACAGCGCTCATCACCGAGTAAACTTGTAATCATTACATGTGGCAGTAGAGCTGAGCTTAATTCTTTTCATTGAATTAATGCATTGCTGTTCAGAAACCACAATGCTCGGGTGTTTTGAGAGAAGCAAGCAGCCTTTTCCAACGCTTACCTTACCTCTAAAAGAAGCATAAACTCAAAGTCCTCAATCGATAACTACAGTAAGTTAAGGAATGATTTAAGTAGGTAAATCGGATCTCCTCCTGTTCCAATCGAGACCGAGCAGCCAGGAAATACCGTCGAGTGTTGCCTCCTTAATCCTCCGACTATGGCACTCTGGCGGCGGCAGTGACACCCACGCTGTGTGGCTCTCATTCTCAACCGCCGAAGTTCGAGACTCGACACCCGGCAATTCTGAAAGCCATTTGTTGTAAATTAGGCAGTCGTCGCGGAAGGGATCAAGTGTCGTGTAGTAGGTAAAGACCTTGGGCGGATGATTCTTGGCAAATGCTGGGTTTGATGAGTCCAGGTGAATCGGCGAGAACCATGGTGTGTTAACGGCAGTGCCGAGGAGCTGCTCAAGTTCTCGGACCATTGCACTGGTCTGCCCGGTACCGTCGCCGTTCTCCTCACGGGACTTGAACATCTCTTTAAAACGCGGCGGCAGCATCGTCTCGGTGGCGAGCATCGGGGTGCCCGAAAAGATCCCCGTGATGGGACTTCTCAAGGGGCTGAGACCATCGAAGCCATTCGACCCAGCCGCGATCGCCGCCGATATCCCACCGATACTCGCTGCGGCACCGCCGCCGGCGCTGACACCGCCAATGACAAAGCCGCGATGCAGATCAACTTTGACATCCTCGGCTTCCAGGATTCCGCCGTTCAAGTGCTTCGCATCAGAAAGCCAAGCGCAGACTTCCCAGGCAATCTGTACGGGCGCTGGGAATGGTTGCTCGGGCAGTTGATTGAGGGACGGGCAGACGACGACAGTTGGAAACATGGATGCGAAGCCTCGGGTGGGTGCGAGGACGATGTCTGGGCTGCCGACGGCGAAACCGCCCCCGTGAAAGTATACGACAAGCGATGTCTGCAGAGGCAAAGACTGGCCTTCGATGGGCTTTGGCCAAACAATTTTGGTGCGGTTCACCTGTCCATCTGGCAGTGGGATGTCGATCCAAGCCTCGCCTAGATGAGGCGGACAAGGGCCGAGGAGCTCGAGACCGGCGGCCTCGGCTTGGGCCATTCCTCGGCGTTGATCCTCGACAGTGCTCATTTTCGTCCAAATTGAGCTGTGAAAGAAAATTTGGGGCAGAGAAATCCACTGCAGAGAGTGAGCTCAGAGCTGCGTGTGTTCCGAAAGAATGTGTTGTCTTCTATGTGTGGGTTGTGAGATGGGGACCGAATAGCAAAGGAGATTTTACATTCGCAGCAGTATTATATCGCGAGTTGCTCCTAGGCAACAATATCTGGTTGAGAGTTGCGACGCGTCATTGCAATACGCCCGCTGTTCCTCAGCCGATATTCTCGCCTATTATTGGATAGAAGTATCTTGGCGGCGCTCGTATTCTTACCGCGACTGGCCACCACGCGATTGTTTTACTATGCGGTATCCCCCAAAATTGCACGTTTGTTTCCTGAAATCCATGCGAAGTATGCGTAATCACTTACGCGGGCAAATCAGATCAAAACGGACATCAGTCCACCTTTCACCAAAATGTTTGATCTCCTCCAATTAGGCTTCCATTGGCAGCATTTATCCAGCTGCAGATTCCAAAGACACTGATATATGTTGACTAGTTCAATCAATCGTAATGTTGTACCTGATCCTTTTTTCCCCAATCACTAGAACACCCAGACTATGCCTGCATTACAGAATAACGATGCACGAACTTCCACTCGTTTTCCCTTGTTCTCTTGCCTTCCCAGTATCTATCTATGCAACAGTATTTATATAACTGCTCAGGAGTTGATGTGTCTTCAATTCTTTTTTCGTCTGTGTACCCCAGCAGCAGCCCCTCGGTTTGCAAGCGATAAAGCTGTAGTAAAAAAATGAACCTTGGATGAAGTCTGGGCTTAGTCTAAGTAGATCTTAATGAAGGTGGGTGCACCCAGCTCCATACTTTGACATGACCCGTTGTAAGAACAGGACCAACTGTCGTGGATGCTTCATGATTCTTGCGGCACCTCGATGCCACAGAATCAGTCCTTATGCGGTATGCTACACACCTATCAAAGGTACTCAAAATGCTTCGCCTGAAGCACTCTATCAACAACATCCTCCGGATCGGCCCCCGCTGTCCTGGCTGTGTCTCTATCGTACCGAATAGGAGACAACGGGTTGGGCCCGGACGCGCGCAAAACGTCCTCATGGATGTCAAGTATTATCCTTTCCCACGACCCCGATAGATTGTTCAACAGGCTCTCGAAGTAGCCAGAGATCCATTGGCACAGCCCTACCGGCACCCTAACCGGTGAAAACCTCAGTTCAATGCTGAGCGTTTGATCCATCCCCGGAACCGCCGAGATCCAGACGTCAGCCGAGTCTGCGCCTTGCCCAACTCCGATAATTGCGCACTCGGTATCTCCTAGCCTGATGCTATCGCCCATTGACTCGTGGTTTTGGAATAGAATAGCCGAGTTAAACCGGCTCGTCGGCCACTGCGTGCAGTGCTTTACGATAGAACGGAATCCGACATGTTGATACGGGAGGGTTTGGTTGTGCTGGTCTTGCAGCTCCGTGACGAGAGACGTCATGGACTTGGTGCCATCGCCCATGGAAGCTCGCATAGGCACCAGGTTGATACACGGCCCAGCCACCTGCTCCGCGCTACCGCGAGGAAATGTGCCGGAGAAGCGGTTAGCACTCACAAAGCCGAAGACGATGTCAGGGCTTTCGAGCACCTGAGAGAGAACACAGGACCACGCGGCCTTCAAGACCGTTGCGGGAGTTTCGTTGGGGCTTGCAAGATTCGCGGTCGGCACCTTGAATGACGCAAGGTGTTGGTTTTGATGTGAATCTGACAATCGTTTTTGCTGCCTCGTGTTGCCCCTAGGTGCCAAGGGGTGAGACATGGAACCATTCAGCAACTTTCTCCAGAAATCTTGCCCTTCGACTACCCCGTCAGCCTTGGCAACGTACGAAGACCACTCATGGAAGCTTGGATGCCTCGTTACGATGGCCGTTCCGGCATAGACAGTTTTCAGATCTCCCAAGAGGTGACCCAGGGAGACGGCGTCGTAGTGAGCGTGATGGATGGACAGCTTGAGGCGGGTGCAGAGCAACCCGCTATCGTCGCTGTGCAGGTCAAAGTGAGGCAGGATATCAAGCATATCCGACGATACCGAGACTCGGTGCTGGCTCGTTTCACCTGCACGTAGCACGTGAATCTGCTCCACCGGCGGGTTCCGCAGCGTCACCTGCAACAGGGACTGCTTATTCTGGATGAAGACTGTTCTCAGGATGCCATGGTGGCGGATGACCTGCTCGCAAGCTTCTCGCAGCTTAGCAAGGTCCAGGCTCTGATGATTATTCCCGCTGAGAGGCTCAAGCGTAACAGTTGCAACCATAGTACCGCAGTCTGGAACATGCTCTATGGCGAGCATGAGCGCTTGGAGATCTGTTGCCAAAGAGACACCCTCGATATTTGATGAGTCCAACCACGTTCTCTTCTTGGCCAGAAAGCCGAGATGTGGGAAATCACGCGGCCGCACAGAGGCGGACCTCTGCGAGACACCGGCCTTGCGGTCACCTGCAAGCTGGCCAATCTTCATCGCCATCTCTGCTAGGGTCGGATGCTTGAAGACATCAACGACGCCGAGACGGTGCCTTGACTTCCTCAGGGCTGTCACAAGACGCATGGCCCGGATGGAGTTGCCTCCGAGGACGAAGAAGTCATCTTGGGGCCTGATCGACTGGGGCGGAAGACCGAGCAAAGCAGCCCACGTGCGCTGCAGCAACAGCTCGAGATCTGTCAGCTCTCCACCAGAAGCAGCGTTCGGCTGTGTCAGGACATTGACGTCTTGCTGCCGTCCGTCAAGACGGTAAGAAAGTTTATCGGATGCAGAAAAGCCACTCGCCATCGTGCGCAGAGCTTTACGGTCCGTCTTCATCGGCCCAACTACCGGGAATTTTCGCAAAGGAATGAAGATTTCCGGCACCATATAAGACGGCAACACTTGTGGAAGGGCTGCTGCGGCTGCCTCGGCCGCCTTAGGCATGGCTGCGAGGACGTTGTCGCCGAGCCCTGACGCCGGAAGGGTTGCGGCATCTCTGCTCGACACTTGGCAAAACGCAGCTAAAGTTTTCTCTTGGCCTGCGCCTTCAAGAAAGGCGTCGACGACCCATTTAGTGTCTCCTGTCGTCTGTCGATTGAGGTGGTATTCGATCTCGCCCATCTCGATCCTCTGGCCTCTGATCTTGACCTGGGTGTCCTTCCGGCTCTCGTAGACAAAAGAGTCTGCCGCTTTCTGCGTGACGAGATCTCCCGTCTTGTAGAAGCGACGCTGGCCGAGTCCCATATGCGCAAGGTCGGGATGCCGTGTCCACGCAGGCGCATCAATGAAGGCAGCAGCCATTGCCTGGGGGCTGTTCACGTAGCCGCGGGCCACGATAGGTCCTTCGATGAGGAGCTCACCGGTGGTTCCCACGGGGACCAGCTCATCGTGATCTTGCGGGTCGACAACCCAGTATCGGCAGCCAACGGGAAGACCAATGTCCTGGATGATGGCGCCGCTCTCGCTAACGGCAACAGGTCTGCCGCTCGAGATACCCACCTCGGCTGGGCCGTACACGTCCATGACGCGAGCGTGAGAGGCCCAGGTTTCCAGGTTCTCCTGCCTGAGAGCCTCGCCGCCCAAGACCACCGCTCGTACGCTCGGGGAGTCTTGCGGGCTGAACAATGTGGCATACGTCGGCGTGCATTGCACATAGTTGGCGCCGGTGCGTCGTATCGCACCGGCGATATCACCGGACGCTTCCGCGTCGGACGGCATACACACACAGGCTCCGTTGTACAGGGCAAATATGATGTCTAGGAGACCGAAGTCGAAGACCAAGTTGTTCAGCTGCAGAATGCGGCTTTGCGATGTGACACCCATGATGCGCGGTATCTCCTGGGCGGTTGTAGCGATGCCTTTGTGTTCGAGCACAATGCCTTTGGGTCGCCCCGTGCTTCCAGATGTGTACACGAGATAGCCGGCGTGGTGTGGATCGATCGTGAAGGACCTCAACTCATCGATGATGGCGGAATTGTCTGGTGTGAAACTTTCGAGGGCCGTCAAATCCACGAGGTCAACGGCGCCGCCGGGAAAGCAGCTTTTCATTGTAGAAACACGTTCGGGTGCGTTGACGAGAATCAATGTGGCTTCCGTCTCTCTCAAAATGGCCGTTCGACGTTCCGGTGGGTGGTTGATATCCAACGCCAAGAAGGCGCCGCCAGCTTTCCACACGGCCAGCATGATGATGACGGCGCTCGTTGCCTTGATGCAGCAGAAGGCAACCACGCTCTGGCTTCGGACGCCGTGCTCGATCTGAAGCTTGTACGCCAGGCGATCGGATAGACGATCCAGCTCGCTGTAAGTCAGATCACCGTCCCATGAGCAGACAGCGGGGGCAGATCCTTGCGAGCGGGCCATGGCCTGGAAGGCGCTGACGACATTTGAATACGCTGCCGCGGCTGGGGGTTCTGCATTCCATTGCTTCAGGAGATCTAGAGACCCAGCTGGCAAAGAGGAATGCTCGTCAAGATGGACTAGGGGCTCATGCGGTGTTTGGATCATGTATTCGATGGCCCTCGCAAAGGTGTCCGCGATGCGCCCGACCAGCTGGTCAGAAACGTGGGCACGTTCGTGTGCCAGTCGAATCATGAGTCCACTGTCCGAGTAAGAAACTCCAACGACGATGGAGAACTCGGTCGGATCTTCGCCATCCATCGTCTCAACTGCCAGATGACCGCCGTCGCCGCCCAGGTCTGCTGGCCAGGCACGCTGGACGGTCATGGCCGTGTCGAATAAGGGCGAGTCTCTCAGGCCCAGGTCATCGTGCAGCTCTGCCAGGTAGCAGCCCGAATAGCTCATCGCGCTGGAGGCGGCGGTTTTAGCTGCATGGAGCACATCCATCGCAGTCATTGCGGCGGGATTGTCGAGGGAAAACTTGCAAGGCAGCATGGAGATGCAGGGCCCTAGGAGCTCTGCCGTGTCATCGACGCCTGCCAGTACCTCTTGGTCAGATCGAGAAGCTACAAAGCAAACCGTCGAGTTGCCAGTGTGCTTCCACAACACCAGAGCCCACGCAGCCTGCATGACCATGGCGCTCGTGATGCCCTGGCCTTTGCAGAAGCTATTCAACAGACGAGCATCGTTGAAGGGGACAATGGGCCCCCAGGCACGATAGTCCGAAGCAGCGGACGGGTCTAGAGGGAGTACGCATGGCTTGACGCCTTCTAGATACTCTTTCCAGTGCTGGCGTGCCTCCTGTTCCTGACCTTGCAGCCAGACGACGTAGTCTGAGAAGGGCCTGCCCGGGGTGACAGCGACACGGCTACCCCTGTCTGCTCGTGAGTATTCCCTCCCGACGTTCCTCCATAAGTCCTGGTATGTTCTCGCAGCAACTATTGTATGGCTGATGTCCAAGGCGGCGTATACCACAGAAGCTGATTCGCGAAAGAGAGATAAGTGATGGGGTGGCTTCTTGGGGTCCAAGGCCCGCTTCTCTTGCAACGCCAACACCTGTATGATTGTCGAACCATCCGCCGGCATCTGCTCAATTGAAACAGATGGCTCATGCTCTTTGGGAACGACTTGCTGAAAGCCGCCTTGGTCCGAGAGGCCGTTAGTGAAGACGGTTCGCAGGATAGAGTGCTTCTTGCAGACGGCTTTCCAGGCATCTGCTATCCTATCCGGATCGATCTCGCCGTCAGACGAGGTGAGCCTCGATAAGAAGCGGTTGTGGTAGTCGTGTCCGCTGATCTGGGCAAGAAGGATGCCCTCCTGTGTCGCAGTGCACGGATAAATTGACTCGACATTGTCCTGGGCAATTTGTAGACCCGCCAACTGGGAATGAAGATGCTCAAGACTTCCCGATGCCAACTTCAAAAGTGGTAAGTCACTGGCTGTCAAGCGGCGCTGGCTTCCGGGAAGCGTAGATGTCATCTCGCGGACGCAGTTGCCCAGCTCCTGTTGTATCCAACGGGCAACGCGGTCTTGGTGGGCCATGTGGCGATCGTATTCAAGAGTGAACGTGAGCTCGTTGTTCTCACCGACGGAGGCAAAAAGACTCAAAAGACCGACCGGCTCAGAGTCTCCCGTGACATTTTCGAGGTGGACTGGGGGCCCATCAGTGCGAATTTTCAGGAGAGCGTCGTCTCGTGTGAATTGCTGCAGGCGGCCGGCAAAGTTGAAAATCAACTCGATATCGCTTCTCTTGAATGACTTTTGCCCGCCAAGTACCTCCGAAGCGAACTGCTCTGTAGCTGTCCGTAAGGTGTCTAGGTATTCGTCCTTGATGACCATGACTGCGTCATCAACACGGCTGTCCGCTTCCATAGCCTGCAAGGACAGGGGAAACAGGGTGGTGAACCAGCCGATGGTGCGTGAAGTATCAACTGACTTGTTCGCGAAACCTTTGTCTCTGCCGTGACTTTCACAATAGACCGCAGGGGCGCCTCGATCGGGAAACACGCGTCGGAAGGACAATACGACGGCCGCTAGCAGGAGAACAACTGGGGTCGTATTTAAGGGCAAGTTGCAAGCCGGTCCCATGATTTGAGCCGTCTGCTCCTGATCCAGGGTGTAACTCATCCGCAGCGTATCTTTCATCTTGGGTGTTACGTTGTGCATTTCCCAGAAAAGACGGTCAGCCTTGGGCCACGGAGACGGCGGTGGCGAAGAGACCCGCGAGAGCGATGATGCCGAATCTGGCGAGGGCGATGACGATGAGAACACCGATGACGCTTTGGAGGATGACAAGGAAGATGAGTTGCCGCTTTTCAGCATGTCGCGTTGGCTTTGTAACCAGACCGGGAAAGGAAGACTTGGGGGCAGGACGCAAGCATCGTCCTGTAGGATAAGCTCGAGATCCTCCCATAGAATTCTCCACGACATCAGATCGATAACGAGGTGGTGCGCGACTAGGAGTATCGAAACCTTTCCTTGCGAACTGACAATGACATCGGCAGCGAAGACAGGCCCTTGAACGATGTTGAGACTCGACTGAGAGCTGGATACGATGGCCGCAAGATCGGCTTGCGAGTCAACATCGCGGTGTGCGCGGAAACCCCAAGTAGCTTCGCCGTCTTGGTGTTGTTCACAGGGAGCAATCCACTGGGTCAGAGTACTGTTACCCTGGTCGTCCTCAACACGGGAGAAGCGGCATCTCAGCATCGGATGATACGCAACGAGCTTGCCGAGAGCCTTCTGGATGCGAGTGGGCGTCGCCGCTACCGCCATGCTCAGGTGAAGATCCAGCAGGAATGCCTGATTGAACTGGTTGTGCGCGGCCGGGCCGCCATCCTCAACAAGGAACTTCTGGATGGCAGACAACGGGCGGTGCTGAGACTGCTCGACCACATCCATTACTGGTATGGCCGTGGAGTGCGTCTCTTGCGCAGTCCGCTGGACTTCCCTGGCGGCTTCCGCGAGGGTGGGCTTGCGCAGCAGATCGGCCACTGCGATCTGGAAGCCTTGCTTTCGACAGCGCGTCGCGACTTGCATGGCTGTGATGGAGTCTCCTCCGAGCTGCATGAGCGAGCTTTCCCGGCCAATGTTTGACGGGTCGATCCCCAACACGGATGACCACGCCAGCTGTAGAGCCACCTCGGCCGGACTTACCGGGGGCGTGAGGACTTGGTGGTCATCGTCTACCGCCCGGGACGAATTTACCTGGGGGTTTGATCGGAAAGCGTCAGCGCGGGCGGTCGACATGTCGATGGTATCCAGAAAGGCTTGGATCTTGATACGATCGACCTTCCTGGACGGAGTGAGTGGGAAGTCGCTGACAACCAGCCATGCGGTGGGCACCATGAACGTTGGAAGACAGCCCTCGGCAAACTCTCGGATAGCTTGCAGCTGATTGCGGCTCTCACCGTCGAGACGGATTCTGTTCATCTTTCCAGACTCACTGGCACCGTTATCATGGCGCGCAAGATGCTGGTCGTCGAGTATGATAACAGCGACGAGGTCTTTGTTTGCAGACCCGTTGCGAGCCTGATGTGTAGTCACCACAACTTTGGAGACACGTTGGTGACTGGATAGGACGGATTCGACTTCACCCAGCTCAAAACGCTGGCCACGAACCTTGACCTGGTTGTCTCGTCGGCCGCCGAAGGCGATGGTGCCGTCCGCATTGTATCGGGCCAGATCACCGGTCCGGTACAGATGATGGGAGGAGGAGCCAAGGCTACTCTGCCGTTTGGGCACAAAGGAGGGGGGTTTGATGAAGGAGCTTTTGGTCAGCTCGGGCGCCAGATAGTACTCTCGCGCCACGCCTGGTCCGTCGATGAGCATCTCACCCATGGCACCGATGGGTAGAAGTCGACTGGCGTCTTCCGGGTCTACGATCCACACGGCGCAGCCTACCGGCGTTCCGATTGTGTCAGGATAACGAGCATCAGGTGCGAGGTGTCCCATGGATGCGACGACTGAACCCTCGCAGGGCCCCCATGCGTTGAAGAGCCGCAGTTTGTCGCTCCAAGTCTCAAAGATTCTTCGAGTGATGGGCTCACCGCAAGAGACAAGCGTCTGGAGACTGGGAAGCACGTCCTCCGGCGCGAGGTTGCGCAAGGCTGTCGGGGTCAGGATGGCAGAGTTGACCTGGGCGGACCTGATGTAGACTCCCAAGCCAGACTCCCGGTCTAGATTTGACGGGATGCACAAACACGCGCCAGCGAGGAGCGAGCCGAAGATCTCGAGCGCGCACGCGTCCCAAGCTGGAACTGAAAACTGCAGAACCGTCGAGTTCCTGCTCCAGCCCAACACGTCCGCCCAAGCGGTAAGGGAAGACGCAAGTAATCGGTGCTCTAGGACAACTCCCTTGGGATGACCCGTGCTGCCGCTGGTGAACAAGATGTATGCGGCCCTCGACGAAGGGGTATTGACATCCATGTCGGCTGGGAACCCAGGAACCCTGGTCTTATCCTTGGTCCGATTGAGGACAACGGCGTGTGTGATGTGATCCTTTTGAAACTCTTGACGAAGAGAATCGGACGAGGTCAGAATCAATTGAGCCCTGCACTGCCGCAAGATGGTTTCCTTGCGGCCATCGGGGAGGTTCGGGTCGATGGGCACACAAGTCCCTCCAGTTCTCATGACGGCCAGCAGAGATACTACCAGAGACAGGGATCTACCGAGCATTACGCATATTGGCTCTTCGGCAGTGATCTCTCCCTGCCGGGCAGCCAAGATCTCGTGCGCGAGGTTGTCGACCATAGTTACCAGTTCAGCGTACGTTACTTCGCCGTCCCAGGATTTGACAGCCAGCGCATTGGGTTGCTCCGCAGCCCTGGCAAAGACACGACTGTGAAGACACAAATCCACAGGCGCACCTGTTGCGAACCCTCGACTGTTCCAGTCCATGAGCTCTAACGTGTCGCCAAAGTTGAGGCAGGGCAGCCGCTTCAGCGGCGTTGACGGGGAAGAGGTGACAAGCTGTCTGAGGCGGTGCTCAAACTGCCGCAGTATCCTGTGTACCTGCTCCCGAGCAAGGACGGCCGGGTCAAAGAGCGTCTTGACTGAAATCTGCTTCTCGCCCGGGGCACAGATAAGGAGAAGACCGTACGGCTTGGGCGGCTCCTCGGTGTGCGATGCATCAAGGCTCAAGCCCGACGTGCCGAGTCCTGCCGTGTGCGCGCGGTGCACGATGTTGAGCACGCTCTGGAAGCTTGACGCCTGCTGGGCGTCGCCGCTGATATTGCGGATTCTCCTGAGGCCGTACTGTAAGAAGGGACTCGTAGACAACTCTCGCCTCGAGGCAACCCGTCCCTTGACAAGCTGCTGGATGGTCATGTTCCGCCGCAGATCAACTTGCACGGGGACGGTGGTGATGGTAGGCCCGAAGGTCGTCTCTGCACCGCCAGGCTGGCCTGAGCCACGTCCTGACAATATGCAACCGAAGGCGACGCTGTCGTTGCTGGTGTAGTCCGAGGCAGTCATGGCCCAGGCGGCTTCTATGTAGGCCGGCATTAACGCTGGCGAAGGATATGTCCCGGGTCAAGACCTCGTTGGCCAGGACTTGGTGATGGTGGGCAGGGAGCGGTGGAAAAATGGATGCACCATTCTTGAAGCGACCTTTCCAGAAGGCGGCGGCTTCCTTGGAGTTGATGGCGGCGCAGTGTTCAACAAAGTCCTTGAACGGGGCATGTATCGGCGGCGCGATGCCCTGATAGATGCTCCAGGTGTCGTCCATAAGGAACTCCATAACGTGGAAGTCAAACATGACGTGGAAGTCAAACATGACGTGGTGCAGGGTCTTGACCAGTCTGATTCCGCCATCTCCAGAGCTGCAGCAGACAAGAGCGAGTCTGATTAGGGGCGTGCCCAGGTCGGTCTTTACCGAGTTGTTCCATTCCAGGAACCGTTCGAGATCTGTCTCGGTTGACCGGAGGACGGGCTCGCCCCCTTTTACCACGGCCTGCAGCAAGCCAGCGCCATCGCAGTCGACTATTCTCGTCCTCAAGACCTCGTTCGAGGCTACGACCTGATCTATGGCAGCGCATAGCCTGTCCAAGTCAACGGAAGGGTCAATTTTGTGAACAATAACGTGAATTTATAGAGAAGAGTCCACCATCATGCCCGACTGCAGCGGCGTGCATGGGTAGACATCTTGGATGTCTTTGGGGGAAAGCTGGCATTGCTCGCAAATCTGGGCCAGAATGGCGGGATCGTCGAGGAGGCTTGAGTTTGTCATGCTCATATCGGCCAAGCCAGGAAGCAAAGAGTGGATTGACAGATTTGGTTCCTCACAAACAGACAGATTCTGGCTTTTCTTCTTTTTCATTTGTTGAGATACCTCGTCAGAGGGTGGTTGCTATTTCCATATCTTATGAGAGACAGCCCCAAAACATCTAACGTAATCAAAGAGTCTGAAGGCAATGGCCGACCGACACGAAGACCCCGTTCCGGCCAAGTATCGTGTACTTGCTTGCCAAGTACCTTCGATTGCGCTCTCGCCCGGGCGCCTCTGCGAAATCCAGGGTTATACTTTGGGTTACGAATCATTTATACGACTTTGAAGCAAAATATCGCCATCAAGCGGGACTTGCTGCAACGCTGACGTTTGCTGACCGGTGTTCTGCGGCAAAGACGGCCGGCATGTCATCATTCTTCAGGTAGGGATTCTTACAAAAGATCATTCTTCATCTCGGCATGCCACGTTTCGGGATGGCTGTTCCGGAATGGTCTATGTGGTCTCGCTTAGACTTGAGCTCTCCTGTTGGTAACTGGATCTCGGCGGAGTGCTGTACCAATGGTCGCACGATGTCAGATTTATCAATCCGGCTTGACCAGCAACCTGGTTCGAAGTGGAAGCTGCAAGGGGCGGCTCGGCTGCATGGCTCGGGAGCCGGATGGACAGAGGACGGGAACTAGGGCGGGTAAATCTCTTGTCGATCTGACTGGGGTTGGTTGGACTAGCTATAAATTACATATAAATCTATTGCTATATCGAATAAGTCTGATTCGATACTTTTTAAACAGGGATAGAACAGGATACGTATTCTCGTTCGGGTTGTCTTCCTTTACCAAAGTCCCATGTGGCGGTGGATCACCGCATCCGCAAGAGGATGTTCGTATCTTCAGCGGAACCTACGCAGGCTGCAAGCACGTCAACTCCACTGGATCCATGCTTCCTCGATATACTGTTACACTTAGATAGTTACTTGACTGCAAGCAACGGGTCTTTTGTTACTAAGCGACAAGAAGGGTTTCTTATGTTACAGCTGACACATTTGTCACGTATGATCAATGTACCTATATCCAGTTTGCCTCTAACGGTTTTCATACTTTCGTATAGCAGGTCACCTATGCCTAATTGACTTTGGCAACTTGTTGTTGGGTGCACCCCCGGCCTGTGATGCATGTAAGTCGTTTCCTTTAGTCCAAAATGGAGTCAGGTGAAAATGGAATCGCCTCGCGTGCGAGTTTTGAATGCGTATGCGGCGACAATCAGTCTATCGACCCGATCATCATCGGATCTGTATTTCCCGTATAAACCAGAGTACCCAATATCCCGTTGGAAGGCGAACAAAACCACAGACACACAGACGGACAGATATACTAGATCTTGATCTTTCTCTCAAGAGTCTGTCTGATCAAAGGCCCCTTCTTTCATCATTGATCAATTCATTCTTCCAAATAACGTGTCATCTTGTGTGCTATCGTCGACAGACTAGACCGCTTCTATCCCTCTCTCTCGTATGATCTGGTAGTAGCATCATCATGGCAGCTTCAACCTCACCACCTGTGCCGATAGCGGTGATCGGCGTCGCCTACAGGGCGCCTGGCGTGGGGAGATAGGGGCTCTTTGACTTTCTGTCCGAGGCCAAGTCGGCCTTCTCACGCGTCCCTGAGGACCGTTTCGACCATGAGTCGTTCCATTACAGCGACTCTGCTAAGCCGGGTGCTCTCTCGGCCAAGGGAGCCTACTTCCTACCTGACGATATCTACGCCTTTGACGCTCCCTTTTTCAACATCACTGCCGAGGAGGCCGTGTCAATGGACCCCCAAATTCGTAAGCAAAATTCCTTACCTCTTTCACACGTCTCATATCTCGCGAACCTCAGATATCGTTTTGAGACTCGCGTCTGAATCACATGAGCCGCAGACGAAGACTGACACGCCGTCCAGGTGTGCTGCTAGAATGTGCATTCGAAGCCGCTGAGAGTGCAGGACTGCCCCTTGACAGGCTTTCAGGATCCAAGACGGGGGTCTTCTCAGCCCAGGAAGAGGCAGAGTATGGCCAGCAGATGATTGAAGATCTCCCAACATCGACAAAGTACTGCATCACTGGCAACGCGGGCTGCATGGTGTCTAACCGCCTCTCTTACTTCTTCAACCTCAGGGGTCCGAATATTTCTCTCGACTCCGCCTGCTCCAGCAGCGGTTACGCGGTGCACATGGCCTGCCAAAGCCTCCGCGCTGGTGAGTGCGAAACGGCCTTCGTCGGCGCCTCGTCGCTGATGGTCAACCACCACACCATGTCGCAGCTCGACACCCTGGGCGCCCTCTCGTCCGACGTCAAGTGCTTCTCCTACGATAGCCGCGCAAACGGCTTCGGGAGAGGCGAAGGCGCCTCCTGTTTGATCCTGAAGCGGCTGGACATGGCTATCGAGGCAGGTGACCCCGTACACGCCGTCATCCGCAACTCGGCGGCCAATCACTCCGGCCGCACGAGAGGAATCACCTTGCCGTCGCAGGTAGCTCAGGAGGAGCTGCTCTGGCGCGTGCATCAAAAGGTCGGCCTCAAGCCGGCTGAGACGGATGTTGTCGAGGGCCACGGCACAAGAACCCCCGTCGGCGACCCCATCGACGCCTCTGCCGCGGCCAATGTCATCGGAAGGGACCGAGAAGGGAAGAAAGTCTACCTCGGCTCCTTGAAGTCCAACTTTGGCCATTTGCATAGCGCTAGCGGCCTGCTCTCCGTCATCAAGGCGGCGATGATGGTCCGGCTGGGCACAATCTTCCCCAACGCGGAGTTAGAGACGATGAATCCCAAGATTGACTCCTCCAGGCTCGAGGTTGTCCGCCGTCCCACGCCATGGATTTCTCCTGAATCAAGGCCCAGACGAGCGGTGGTCACCAATTTCGGCTTTGGCGGGAGCAATGCGGCCGTGTTGATTGAGGAGTATAAGGCGGATGAGAACCCCTCATCGTCATCCTCGTCGCTGAAGTCGTCTCAGCCCTCTCAAATGCTATTTCCCATCTCCGCACAGTCCCTTGCGTCCCTTTCTAGCTATCAATCCCAGGTAGCGTCCCATCTCGAGAAGGTTTCCGTTGATGATTCCTCCTCCTACTTGGGTGACCTGGGCTACACACTCGGCCTGAGACGGACGCACTTCGCTCACCGCATGGCCCTTGTCGCGGGATCCCTCTCGGAGCTCCGTGAGCAGCTTGTTTCCCCTTCGCTGTCCAGCACGGGAGGCAGGGTGGCCGCGGGCCAGAAGCCCGCCCCATGCTTCGTCTTCACAGGTCAGGGGGCTCAGTCCGCCCGCATGGCCGCGGATCTCGGTCCTCAATACCCGGTATTCGCGAAGGCGATGGAAGACGCAGAGAAGCACCTCCGAGCGTTCGGCGCCACATGGTTGCTGGCCGAGGAGCTGGCCAAGTCTGAAGGGTCCCGGATCAACGAGGCGGAGATCAGCCAGCCGGCCTGCACCGCCGTTCAGCTAGGCCTGGTCGAGCGCATCGCCAACACGCAGGGTATCTTCAACCGCAGACTGAGAGTCAATGTTGCGTACCACTCCCACCACATGGAGCGTGTAGCCAGCTCGTATGTTGCCGCGATCGAGCCGTACTTTATGGACGATCGCAAGAGCCGGTTGGCGCTTAATGGCGACTACGAGAAGAAGAGAGTGTTGCTGCCCCTTTTCTCATCTGTCACCGGCCAAGTCGAGGGCGCGGAAGCCATCACTTCCGCGCGGTATTGGGCCAAGAACCTCGTCAGTCCCGTCAGGTTCTCCGAGGCCGTCACGCTCGTGGCCAACGAATCCTCGGCAAACGTCCTCGTCGAAATTGGCCCGCATGCCGCCCTTAAGGGGCTCATCAACCAGACCTTGCAGTCATTAGAGCAGAAGAAGGATAGCATCACGTATGTCCCCTCGCTTGTTCGCGGCACGGATGACGCCAAGGCTGTGCTGCAACTTGCTGGCCGCTTATATGCCATGGGACTCACCGTCGACTTTCACGCCATTAACGGAACCGGGCCGAAGAGTCGGCACCGCGTCTTGGCTGATCTCCCTTCATACGAGTGGGACAAGAAGGCAAGGTTCATCCACAGATCGTCCGTCTCGGTCGGCAAGTTCCACTCCGGCCACACCTTCACGCCCCTCCTGGGCTGGAAGATGGCCTCTCAGGGGCGAGACCATGTCTTCCGCCAGGTTTTCACGCTGGACGAGTTGCCATGGGTCCGGGACCACAAGGTTGTCGGCGACGTTCTATTCCCTTTTACTGGCTTCTTGAGTCTGGCAGTGGATGCCTTCCGATCCATCACCACTGCCACCGTCGATCCTGCCACGTCCTTTTCGATCTGCGAAATGCACATCGAGCGCGGTTTGCACATCAAAGAAGAGCAGCGTGTTGATATCTGTACCAAGCTGAGACCCGTAGAGACGGGAACGGGTCACCTCTCATCGTCTACGTGGGCCTTTGAGGTCATGACCTGGAGCGAGCAGACAGGCTGGGTCACCCACGTCCACGGCAGAATCGAAGCCGGCTCGGGGGAGAAATGCCTCGTTGCGTCTGAAAGCCCGGTGTGGCAGGCCGCGGAGAAGATTCTGAAGGGAGTCAACGCGGCCGAGCTGGACGAAGCCACCGCCCTGTCAGGATATGATACTCTCGACCAATCCGGTGTCTGTTACGGTTCGAGCTTTAAAAACATCTTCGAGATGTGGAGGTCCCCCGGCAAGACGGTTCACCGAACACGTCTTCGACAGACCAACGACGAGGAGCCGCTCTCCATCCCAAAGCGAGGATCTGCCATGACGGTCGACCCTCCCATGCTCGACTCCGTGCTCAGCTCCGCCCTTCTCGCCGTCGGCGATGGCCTCCCGGAGCCGCGTCCGGCTTTCGTGCCGACATACGTTCGCCGCATGCAGCTCTCCAACACCATCCCCTGTGAGCCGGGCCAGCTCTTCACCACCGTCTCCCATCGCAAGACCTTTCAGGAGAAGACAGGCCGGTCAGATGTCAGCATCGTCGTGTGGGCCGATGGCCCCCAGGGCTCCAACGAGCGCGTGCCCTGTGTCGAGATGGAACTAACGTACCAGCGTATCAACGATGCCGGCCAGGAAGGCGAGGAGCACGTCAAGCAAACTCTGCCCCGAGGTTATCAAGAGGTCTTGATGCCGCATGTCGACCTCTCCGACAATAAGGCTCTCTCGGAGTCCATCATGGACCGTTCGTGGACTCCGGAGGAGCTGCTCCCCCGACACAAGCACAACGCCGTCGGCCGGCATTTCCTCAAGCGTGCAATCGAAGTCGCCGCCGGCCTCGACGAAACAACACTGCCAAAGCACCTCAAGGCCTTTTTGGTATGGGCCGGGGTCCAAGTCCGCAGCGTCGATGACGAGCCGGAAGCCAGCGCCGAGTTGCTGCAGGAGGTTGCCCGAGACGATGCCTTTGGCGAGCTCATCTGCGCCGTGGGCAACGCGATCCCCGAGATCCTGCGCGGCGAGGTCGAGCCTCTGGAGGTTATGATGAAGGACGGCCTTCTCATGAAGCACTACGACGACATTCGCACCATGGCTAGGGGCAACCAAGCTCTCGCCAGGTACATCGCCAAGCTCGGCGAGCTGAACCCGGACTTGCGGATCATCGAAGTGGGCACCGGCACGGGCGCAGCCACCACCAAGGTCTTACAGGCCTTGTCCGCCGAGGAGCCGGAGGAGGAGGACAACTTCTCCGCGTACACATATACGGACATCTCGCCCGGCTTCTTCGATGCCGCGCGCAAAAAGCTGGCGAGATGGCCGCAGGTGACCTACACCAAGCTCGACATCAGCCAGGACCCGGCCGAGCAGGGCATCGAGGTGGGCATCTACGACGTCGTGATCGCGTCCAATGTGCTACACGCGACGCAGGATATCGAGGAGACCGTCCGCAACATCGGCAGCCTTCTCAGACCGGGAACGGGCAAGCTCGCCATCGTCGAGTCGCTACCGGAGAGTTGCGACGCCGCGTTCCTCCCGTACACCATCCTGCCGGGCTGGTGGCTGACGGAGAATAGCTGGAGACAGGGAAACGACGGCCCGCTCATGTCCCAGGAGACTTGGGACCGGCTGCTCGTCACCCTCGGCTTCAACGGCGTCGAAGGTGCGGTGGCGGACTGGCCCGGTGCGGACATTTGCATTGTCAAGACCATGTGGTCCACCAAATTGTCCGAGGACATCCAAGACGAAGAAGAAGAGTCCGACGCGGCAGGAGAGGTGACGATCTGTGGCACCATCACCGAGGAGCAGCGGCAGCTTGCCGGGGCCGTCCAGAGCAAGCTGGAGCATCTCAAGCCACAGATTATCAAGTCCGTTCCAGAGACCCAACAGATCAGGGACAAGTTCTGCATCTTCCTAGACTGCGGCGAGACCAGCTTCCTCGCCGACATAGCCACCGAGGAGGCGTTCGCAGCACTCAGAGCCATGGTGCTCGACACGCGCGGCCTTCTCTGGATGACCCCCGATTCCGACAGCCCCGACTTTGCTCGCGTTCAAGGCCTCCTCCGTACGCTGCGGCTGGAAGATCCAACGAAGAAGCTCCTCTGGCTCAGCAAGGCACCAACCAGCGACCCAACGCAGACGGCAGAGCTGGTCGACAAGCTCACGGAGAGACTCGTCAAGGATTCTTCCTCGTCGCCCGCAGAGCTCCTCGAGCAGGACTTTGTGTGGCAGGACGGCATGTTCCAAGTGCCTCGCCTTCGCAGACTCCCCGAGACAACGAGGACGTTCGCCATCGAAAAGGGGCTTTCGGTCCGACGGGAGCAGAACCTCTGGGACGGCTCAAGCCCCAACAGCGCCCTCTTCATGACCATGGACACGCCGGGCGTCATGGACTCGGTGTACTTCAAGCGCCACGACTTGATGCGCCCCGCCGAGAAGCCGCTGGGCGACGACGAGATCATCGTCAAGGTCGACGCTTGCGGCATCAACTTCCGAGACGTTCTAGCCCTCCTCAACACCATACCCTGGAGTCTGCCGGGCCGTGAAGGAGCAGGCACCGTCGTCGCCGCCGGCGCAAACGTCTCCCATGTCCGGCCGGGTGACAGCGTGATCTACATGATCGCCCAGGGCGGCCTCGCGACGCATGTCCGCATTCCCGCGGCACACGCCTGCAAGCTGCCGTCGGGCCTCTCCCCCGCCGAGGCCGCCTCCATGGCCGTCGCCTACGTCACCGCTCTCGTGTGTCTCGACGATGTCTCGAGGCTCCGGCCGGGCGAGTCCGTCCTCGTCCACGCGGCTTCGGGAGCTGTTGGCCAGGCGTGCGTGCGTATCGCCCAGAGCATGGGTGCCACCGTTTTCGCCACGGCCGGGTCCGAGGAGAAGAGAACGTTTGTCCACGAGACACTCGGCGTGCCGCGTGAGCATATCTACTCGAGCCGTAAGCGGGGTTTCGCTGCTGGTATCCTCAACGTGACGGGCGGCCGCGGCGTCGACGTCGTCGTCAACTCCCTGAGCGGCGAGCTGCTTCAGGACACATGGTCGATCGTCACCGAGTTTGGTCGCTTCGTCGAGATCGGGAAGAAGGACATTCTGGCGAACTCGTACCTCGGCATGAGGCAGTTCGAGCGCAACGTCTCCTTCTTCGCGGTGGACCTCGTGCCGTACCTCTCGCACAAGTCGGACAGCATCCAGGCCTGTTTGGCGAAGATGGTAAGCCTGTTCGAGGCCAAGGTTATCCAGCCCATCCAGCCCATCCATGAGGTGCCCGTCTCCGATATCGTCTCCGGCTTCCGTGCTCTGCAGAGTGGTCAGAACATCGGCAAGATTGTCGCGATCATGGGGAAAGATGACAGGGTCGTGGCAGACGTGGCATCGCCGCTCCGCCGGGATGACGGCAGCGCTTTGCTTCGCGGTGATGCGACATATCTCATCACCGGTGGAACCGGTGGCATTGGCAAGTCCCTCGTGCCTTGGATGCTGGGGAACGGTGCGTCCAACGTCGTCGTGCTCGGCCGTTCAGCCACCAACGCCGAGGTGGCGAAGCTCATCAGCGACTACGACTCGCCTTCAACGATGATTCACGTGCGTGCTGTGGCGTGTGACGTCTCCTCTCGAGACAGTCTCCTTGCCGCGTTGGAAGCAGTCAAGGCTCAATGTACCTCCGCGACTCCATCTTCTTCAACGCCTCCTTCGACGACTGGAAGACCATCAACGGCCCCAAGATCGTCGCCGCTTGGAATCTCCACCACCTCCTCCCTGATCTCGATTTCTTCGTCGCCCTCGCATCCGGGGCTAACGTCGTCGGCAACGTCGGCCAGTCCATCTACTGCCAGACATCATCCTTCCTCGACGCCTTCGCGCAGTGGAGGAGCCGCGCTGGCAAACCAACCATTTCCATCAGCTTGCCTGTCGTGGACGACGTCGGCTATGTAATCCAGCAAGGCATGCGCGAGCAGCTCCTCGAGAAGCTGGGCTTCTACATCTCCATCGCCCAGGTCCACACCGTCATCAAGGGCGCCATCATCGGCCCGTCATCAGGCCTGAACATTGACTCGCGAGCCATTGCGTTCGTGCTTTACGACTCGCCCCAGGGCAAGTCGCACGGACTGGAAGAGCGGTCGCGCTACCTGTCCGCCCTGCGTCAGAAGAAGTGGAGGAAGAACAAGCACGCGCTGGACAACCACGGCGACGGCGAGGTCGCTGCCGGAGGGCGGCTGAGTCTTCTCGATGCTTTGGCCGGGAAGGTCTCGTCTATTATCGCCGACACGCAGTCTCATCGAGTACGGCCTGGACTCTCTAGTGTCGGTGGAGCTGCGGAACTGGATTAAGAGAGAATACGGAGCTGATTTGGCTCTTACGCAGATCGTTGGCGCCCCTGATTTGCAGGCGTTGGCGGACGTGATTGTTACTCGTCAGAAGGCGTGAATAATACCAAATACGATTTGGCTGTGAATACGGAACTGAATTTATATAAATCATCATGGCCTTCACTTGATACCTAGACATAGATTTGTTTATTTCACACTTGGCTTGAACACCATCCCTGAAGTTACAAAACAAAAGTTTACAGAGGTACAACACCAAGGAAAAGAGCTGCAGGAAACAAAATGCATTTGTTCTAAAAACAATACATAGCTTCATGTGAGACGCGCACAATGAGTCTTGTAGACCGCTACGCTATTTTCCTATCGGCGCGCAGCGGATGATACTCCAGTTCTACCAGACCGCGGTGGCTCTGTGTGGTTTTCCAGCAATGTTAGACGGGTTTGTTGGTAATTCGTGCTATGATCCAAGGATTAGGCATGCGTATTGGACGCGGTTCGGCCCTTCAGGTTTCGCCAACGATTTCTCTAAGTGAAGTATCTATTATTTCAGAATGCCACTGCTATTGCACCCTTACAATATGACGATATCTTTGTTCATCAGCACCTAACGTGCGAGGAGTCCCTGTCAACTCGGGTTGCTCTCCCATGCCAAGTTCTTTTGTTTCCCATGGTTCTTGCTATTCTGGCTAGAATTCCGAAAATATGGGGCATAGAACCTGGTCAGAGATGCCTCTAAAACAGGGACTTTCGGGGGTCGGCCAATATGGGAACCGTCTCATTTCTGAACAAAAGATCAAAACAGCGTTGTATTCATAGTCGAAGTTGGCGCACCCGACATGGGTTCCGGGAACTGCAGAAGGTGAGTCCACACCATGTATCCGTAACAGAGCCACAAATGCAAACAAGGTATGCCCGCAGGCGGTAGCCTGTTACCTATACGAACGTATGAAAAAGGTTAGGAGGGAGATGATACAAATAGTCAACGCAGGGTTTCAACGTGACCCGACCTCCGTCCTGCTGACATGCATCAAAAATGACGTGGAACACCAGCCCCATAGAAATATTCATGGGGGCAATGTCCGAACATGTCACAAACGGATTATCGAGGTGCATAGCAAAGTTGCGGTTACAAGAATCTCAACATCAGATTAGAAAACCTCAAAACGAAAGATTGCTTGCGCTCACCTCGCTCCATCATTTTCTTTGGCAAAAGACCAGCCACCTTTCGTTACCCACTACTTGCCGTACCCCTTGTTGAAAATTATGGATACCCTGGAAGCTGAAGACATCCATGCCATCGAGCAGCTCTTGCGCAGTCATGAGTCTGTCAAAGACGCGGCCGTGTTATCTGTACAGAAATACGGGGAAGATATGCTGGTGGGCTTTGTGACGCTGCACGACCAAGCCCTCGAGAACCAGATCCGAACCCTGGGCCAGTCCGGCGATGACTTCGAAGCGGAGCAAGTGCAGCTGTGGGAGTCGGTCTTTGACCGGCGCGTTTACGCCACCATCGACGACGAAGCGCGGCGGGAATCTGTCGGGCGCGACTTCACCGGCTGGATCTCGGCCTACGATGGCAGCTTGCTGGACAAGACGGACATGAACGAGTGGCTGGACGATACCATCGATATGGTGGTCACGCACAGCATTCGCGACCGTCCCGTCAACGTTGTCGAACTCGGAACCGGCTCCGGCATGATTCTCTTCAGTCTCGCGCGCCACATACGTTCCTATCATGGTATTGAGCCATCCCGTAAGGCCGTCGACTTCGTCTCAGCGACGGCTCAATCGATCCCTGAACTCGCAGACAAGGTGCATGTGTACGAAGGCACAGCAACCGACTTTCATTTACTGGGGTCGCCCTCCCCCGACTAGGTCGTCATCAACTCGGTTGCCCAGTATTTCCCTAGCCAGGCCTACCTTCTAGAGGTGGTTGAGGGCATCCTAAAATTCGGCTCCGTTCAGACAGTTGTGTTTGGGGATATCCGATCGTTTGCTCTTCAGAAGGAGTTCCTGGTCACCAAGGCACTTCACGCCACGGGCGGAAAGGCAGGCAAGGGCGCTCTTCGCGAAAAGATCTCGGAGCTGGAGCAAGCCGAGATTGAATTCTTGGTTGACCCGGCATTCTTCACCAGCCTGCCTGACCGGTTTCCAGGCCTCATTGAGCATGTCTGCATCATCCCGAAAAAGATGAAGGCCACCAACGAGTTGAGCTGCTATCGCTACGCTGCGGTCCTTTACATTGCGAGTGGAAGCCAACAGAGCGGAGAACAGCAGCAGCACCTTACTAGCAACATTCGGGAAGTCGCCGGTGACGAATGGATTAACTTCGTGGATCAAGGACTGGATCGTGCAACCCTCTCGCATCGTCTGATCACCGAAAACCCAGACATCATGGCCGTGAGCAACATTCCCTACAGCAAGACTGCCTTTGAGAGGCACTGTCTCGACGCGCTCGCGGACGGAAAAAGGCACGAAGAAAACGCGGATGATGATTCTGCGTGGCTCGCGTCCGTCCGTCAGACCAGCCAAGAGCCCCCCTCTCTCTCGGCTCTAGACCTGGCAAACATCGCTCAAGAAGCCGGATATCAAGTTGCATCTAGCTGGGCGAGGCAGTTCTCACAGCGCGGTGGCCTCGACGCCGTCTTCTACCGTCCATCCGACACCGTAGCTGGTAGTGATGGTGTCAGGGACAAAGCTCTCTGGCGCTTCCCGACTGATCATCAGGGTCGAGAGCCCACCGCTTTCAGTAATCAGCCACTTCAGCAGCAGGCCAGGCAAACGATCCAACGACAGCTCTTCGAAACTCTGGAAGATCAGCTTCCTATGGAGTCGGTACCCGAGGATATAGTCATCATGAGCGCTTTGCCGACCACTTCGGATGGCAAAGTGGACCGTCAGGCGCTCTCAGAGAAGGCAAACTAGTAGCATGACACATGAAACAGCAGTTGCTTCTGTGTTGTCCTGGACCACCTCCTTGAATTGTTTTCCGACCGAGGCTCGGGTTACTGGGGGGATGAACAAGTATCTGCCATATTTCCGGGTTGGGTGCGTTGCCTGACATTTGTCTGCTGGTCGTCATTTTCTCCTCCGCACGGCAAACGGACGGGTCAAGTAATATCAGCTGCTGAGCCAACTCTCGTAATTCATTATAATTCGGACAGCTAGCTGCTGATTATTCATATGAACGTGTTACCCTCAGTATTAGGATATAATTCGTGTTTTTCAGCAAAAGAAAAGCCTTCCATGCTCATAACTTTCATAAACCGCTAGTCAGAGTTACTGTCAAACAAAAACATTAAATTGACAGTGGCAGCGTAGTCATTTAAAACCAGGTCCTTGAAACCCCAAAAGATCACATCCATGGATCTAAACTCCTACCTAGGTATTGTTCTGGCGTTATGAATCTACCTATTAAAGATAGAAGGTCTTTACGCAAGGTCAGGAGAAATCTTATCATTCGAGTCGACAACTACTAAAGGCCTGTATTCACAGCATTCTATCACCCAACTTGGCGGTATGATTCTACCAGCACAACACCGCTATCCACCACCAGCAAAGAAACAATCCCTCTAACCATTCACCACCGTCCTGACCATCTACGCCGCCGGTCTAAGCATCACCAGGTCATGATCTCGCACAGGGGCCCAAGGAGTTGGCCTTCCCGCCGTTGTCAGCGCATCCCTGCTCGAAGCTCGCCGCCCTGGCCGACTCGTCAAAGCAGCACTTTCGTTCGTTAGCAATCAGCTGTTCTTGCAATAATACGCAATATGTCGACGACTTACAGTCCCCGGTGACTCAGGGAGAGGTGTTCCGGCAGCTGCGACGCAGATGTTGTCCGAGGTATTGACGTTGCCGTTGATGACGCACGAGTACCCTTGGATGACAGCACCAAGCACAATGCTAGGGTTGGGTCCATTCAGTAAGCTCCCGTTTACTTTACAATTGTAGGAAAGCTTTCAAAGCAAGAACTCACGCGGCTTGTGCCAGGGCAACTGCAATCAGAGTGGATTTCATGGTGTTGACTGAAGATAGATCGGGGCAGATATCGAAGAAAACAGAAAGATTTGGGAATGGTGACCGGATACCTGCAGTTGAATAGTTCGTCTGCATCCCTCCGTTAAATAGAATGGGAAGACATGCTTTTGAGTCAGTATCAAATGGCATATGCCAGTTGACAACCCAAACTCCCAATCCCAAAATAGTCGACCGGCCCCCCTTTATCAACTGATCCAAGTTTGAGGGTTGAACTCAAAATCGGTTGTCGTATCGCGTTATAGCGTTTGATTGGTTGTTATTGGTCCTGTCAATTAACGGGATCAGCGCAGATCTCGGCTCAGTCCGAGATACTCGGATGGAGAGGCGCCATCGCGATATTCAAGGCTCTATTGAAACGAGCAAGGGTCTCTGATGACCGCGGCGACCGGTCAGTCCGAGATCATGGTAGCCTTGTTGCACTAGATGCAAGGCGCAAGGCGCAGACCTAACGTGGGGACATACGTTAGCTGAGACGAGGCTAGGAACAGTAGTGCTAGGAAGGCGATTATACAGACCTTGGATTGCTGCTCTGTACCAGTTTTCAACTGTCAAGTCTACCGCGCATCTGGAAAATAAGACTCTGCTCCACCCTGCGCAACATTACGTACTGACGTTATCAGACACGCGGTCACGAGAGAGAGGCTACCTAGGGGTCTTAATGGGCTGTAGCTCCGGGGGACAATACCTACTATGAAGGTTTGTGGCTATCAGAGACCCTATGCCACGAGAATATCGGTTTTATCAGAGTTCATAGTCCGTATATTGCGAACTTGTTGGGCTGGATGACTTCGATAGCGTCAAGTGTTTCAAACCCCTAGCATCTCCTGGAGACAGATTAGCATTAAAGGATGAAGTTCAAGCAAAGAGGCAAGTCGTAACAGTAGTTAAGCATTCTGACGGAACGTATCTGGGAATGGTGTCTTCAAACTAATAACTTACCCGCAGACAATGTTCATCCATCTGCCGACAGTTGCGTCTTGCTCATTACACTGGGCGTCATATTTAGCAGAGGTTGAAACTCAGACACGTGAGGTAAATAGTTGACTTTCTATAACGTTGAAACATATTATAAGCTGTCTTTATGAAGAATACACACCCCACGCTCGCTCCCTTCGAACTCCAAAAATCACCATTACCCGTTCCCCAACCACACCACTACCCAACACTCAACCCCCAAACTCCGTCTCGGCCCCTAACTTAGGCACGAGCATAACCCATCAAAGCCGGCTCGCCAATCAACTTGGGCAGGTAGGCCAACAACCGCACACCGGCAGCCACAATCGATCCGGCGGTAGCAACACCGTCCTCGACGTTCAGCCCGGGGGCGATGATGTCCTTGCACACATCGTTCAGGTTGATCCGGCCAATCTGCGCAGGGCCGCTGCCATTCATCAGCGCGTCCTTGACCAGCGCAGCAGTGAGGGGGTTCAAGAGCGTCGTCGCGTGTCCGTAAACACCACCAGCAGGGCGGCCGGCGCAGACCTTCTGCACCTCAACATTCGTAACTCCAACCCGGCGCGCGTCAGTGATGTACGCGGAGGCGGCGGTGCCCTGCTGCGGCTCGACGACCTCGTCCAGCAGCGCGGAGTAGAACGTTGTGGTCGGCACGTACGCGTCAGCACCGCCCTTGGCGCGGAGCGTGGTCACGAAGTTGGAGGTGTACTCCTGCTGGATGACGGACGGGTCGCAGGGGGCGTTGAGCGCGCCGGCGCCGGGGGAGAGGCAGAGCACGTTGGCGAGCACGGTGCCGTGGAAGTCGGGCGAGACGGGGAGGAAGTTGGAGACGACGGCGCGGGTGGACGGCCAGAAGCTGAAGGCCCACTGCGTGTCGAGGCCGCCCTGGGACCAGGAGACGATGCTGGCGTTCTTGCCGGTGATGCCGTTGATGTAGTTGGTCGCGTAGGCGACGTACTCGGAGTTGACCTGGGCGTCGCCGAGGAGCGCGCCGGGGACGTTGAGGAGCACGGGGTCGGCGTAGGGGACGCCGGTGAGGAGCTTGAGGAGGTTGCCGCCGAAGGCCTCGTTGGCGTAGGTGCCGGTGCCCGGGACGAAGATGACGGGGGGCTTCTGGCCGTAGGTGAAGGACTTGGGGATGTAGATGGCCTGGCGGAGCTGCTGCTCGGTGAGGGAGTAGGGCGCGTCGGCGGCGTCCTTCTTGGGGTAGATGGGCTTGGCCGGGTTGAGGGGGTTGAGGTTGTTGGTCGAGTCGAGCGGGGTGAGGGGCCCGACGAGCTTGTTCACGATGGAAGTGAGGTCGGCGCTGCCGAGGCCGAGGAGGCCGCTGCCGCCGAGGAGACCGCCGCTGCTGAGGATGCCCTGGAAGCCGGAGAGGAGGCCGGCGGGGACGATGCCCTGACCGATCTGCTTCTGGATGTTGCCGTAGAAGTCGGTGGAGCCGCCGGACTTGGAGCCCCAGATGGCGCCGAGCTTGGTCTGGAGGTCGTTCGCGTTGAGGACGTTGAGGCCGGCGGTGGGGTTCGTGCCCAGGATGCCGGAGAGGGACTGGACGTAGTTGGTCGGGAGGGAGAGGAGCTGGGTGACGCCGGTGAGGGAGTCGAGGAGGCCGGCGGGCGCGGCGTCGGTGGATTGGAGAAGGATCGCGAGAAGCGCGGCTTGCTGAACCGGAGAACGCATTTTTAAATATTTGTTCTTGTTGTTTTTAAAGAGAGAAAGACTGCAGTGAATGTTGACTGGGTTAGTAGTTAGAAAAGAGAGACAGAGATGGGGAGACAAAGATGAAGTGCTAGGAAAGAGAGGGTAAGTCTTGAGATGAAGCCTGTGAGTTGGATGAAGAACCTTTCTCTCTCTCTTGACGCCGGATCAACTGGATGCTTATATCCTTCCTTCGCTCACGACAGGATTCAGGATTCCGTGTTGATGTTGATGAAGCAAAGACAAAAAAAGCCGTTGCCGTGCGCCACAAACGTCTTTCGAGGAGTTGAGGGGAGCATGCGAAGGTCAAGCGCCCTCCCGCCGGCCTTCCGCCAGTCTAACCCAAGCCCCTCCTCTGAACAAATCTAGCTCGACATCTTCAAAGAGTGTGCAAGCAAACGCTCTCTTGCTAGAGCCTAGTCGCGCCGATCCCCAAGCTAAGCATTCCCCATGGCAAAAAGATCTTTACGGCGCGGGGGAGCGAATGGCAACCACAGAGAGATCTTCGGTGTTATTGCACGTCGTATTGGGTCATAGAGTTCGGTAGTGTTGTGCTCGTGTTGCTGTATTAGGAGATGGCGGCTAGTCTAGCGTGGGACCAAGCCGAGGCGTCGCCTCCCGTCCAAGGGCCGCCCGTCGTTCGTTCGTTCTATTCTCGCATGGTTCTCCCCTTTTGGGGGCGCCAGCCGGAGCGTTTGTGACGTTCTGCTGCTGCTGTTGCTTCTGTGGTAGTAGACTTTGAGATGGGAGAGTCGGATTGCCCTTTTGTTTGTAAGACGTCGTTGACTCGAAGTTAAGCTTGGTCGAAGCGCCACAACCGGCCGCCAAGCAGACTTCGCGGCTAATCTTCAGGTTGAACAAAGGAACAATGAACTACCTCGGCATCAACGGCTCCCTTCTTCATCTTCCCCAACCTTGCGTTTCCCCTTTCGTCACGTCTTCCTCAACAAGCGAAAAAAAGAAGAAACAAGCTTCCCCGCGACAGCTTTCCCCTGATGCTACCTAACCCCTGAACCATCCTTGTTCCCCCAGATCAAAAAAACAAAAAAACCATCCGAAGCCCGCCGTCCCAGCAACCCCAAAAGCGCCCAAGCTCCCCAGATAAGCTCACGGATATATAAACATCGCCTCACCACACGGGCTTTTTCTTCGTTCCCTTTTGGCGTCCAGCTCGGACGAAACAAAAAGCTTGCCCCCTGCCCCCGTGAGTATGGGGAGATTTTCTCCTCGCCCGGCTGGCCTCGTTTTTGACAACCAACGGCTCCGGCATTGCTTGTCTAGTCCACGGCGCGAAGACAATGCATGTTCTCAAGACTTGCCCAAACCAGGAATTCTTCCTCTTCAGAGACTGCTTCCCGTTCACTGAGTCCATGCTTCGGTCCGATATCAGGTGGAACGCATCGTCCGGGCCTCCGGAGCATGGCATGACAACTGTTAACATTCTTTCCCACGATAGCGTCTGGCGATGCGGCGAACAAAGCTATTGTGTTAGCCCAAGATCCAGCAACGACCGACGATGATCTCTGTCCGGGAAAACCACGAAGGCCTCGGAAAGATCCGAGTTCGCGCATCGGCTTGGTCAACCCAGCCTACTGGGCCTCTCGCCTCCAACCGGGCCGATTCGACGAACGACTGCGCTCTCTTCTTCCCTACCCTGCGAGTTTCTCAGGTGAAGCTTCAAAGAATCCAGAATATCTCATGTTGCCATGCCGACTGACGATCGACAGTATCCGATCGAAACCATACCCAGCGACGGCCAGAAACAAGATGTCGGGGTATCTGGATAGCACGTCACAATTGTTCGTCGTCCCTAGTTTGGCACCTTTCCTTCAACGAAAAAAGCGATCAGCTAAGGAAACTGGCTCAAACGCTGCGCATCCCACCTGTCCTGGTTTCCATACGTTCAGGGGACATAACTTCAGAGAAAAGGACGAAGCGAAACTCGGTTCAACAACGAACACCACCCCTAAAGTCGTACCCGCGATAACACGGAAGTAAGTCATAAACCAGGAACGAAACGCCTCGTGAACCTCAAATCATCAATCTTATTTCTCTATTCAGGGTCAGAGCCCTCATTCCCTTCACACCCGCCCCAACGCCAATGGCGTGGTACACCCGCCAGACCGTCCCAATTTTTGATCCCACCCGTGTAGCCAGCCACGCCAACCTCACACTGTTATTTTTGAACACCCAGTCCACAGTCCGTCTTTGTGTTGCCAGCTGTAAAACGCCAGGCCGCCGTCCCTCTCAAAGTAAACGAAGGGAAAAGCAAAATTGTTAAAACAAAAGGGCTTTAAAGCGCAACATGCCCTAACGAAAGAGGGGGTATTGTACTGCGACGACATGAGCAAAGAACGAACGATGGCAGACAGGCTACAGTCACGCGCAGGAAGTGTCACAAGTACGCAAAACAGACAACGTGCAAGCAAACTGAAAAAAAGCTAGGAAATCTCTGTTGGGGGCGAGTGCCGTGTGTGGTAGACAAATAGAAGGGGCAACCGGGCCCGGGGAGCCCATCGAGACGATGATTCTCGAGACAAGCCCAGATGTCCAGAGATAACTAAAGCCGCAAAGCAAGCATGCATTGGTCGTTCTCGTGGCGTCTGACAGTCGTGTCCGCTAACCGTATGCCTAAGATCAAAAGTCCAAAGAAATGTGTCATTCGCCCAGGTATCCATCGTGCAGCGTAAAAGTTCCAAGGCGGTGGGATGAACGAAAACGACGAAAGAAGTTCGAGTGTAAGCAACAAGACAGTCATGAGAGGTGTTTCGCTTTCTTTCCCGCGGCCATAAGGACGTCGAGGGTAGGAATGAGGCCGCTCTAAAGGCCCATCAGACCGTCACTCTACTGCAGCACTTGATTAGAAACATAACACAGCAAATGACCTTTGGGGTTCATCATACCTGAGGAGGGGCACCAGGAGGGCCCTGGGGTCCCGGGGGTCCGTGAGGGCCAGGAGCACCGAAGTGGGCAGGGCCGTAGGCACCGGGGCCGGGGGCGGGAGCGAAGTAGTGGGGCGGGGGAGGGGCAGGGCGGTAGGGAGTGCCGACGCCAGAGTTGTTCTGGCTACGGCCCCAGCTCAGACGAACGCGGGAGTTTCCGATAGGGTATCCCTGCATCTGGTTGATGGCCATCTCAGCAGCGTGGCGGTGGACGAACTGAACGAAACCGCAGCCCTTTCCGGGAGGGATCTTGACGTAGGTGATCTCGCCAAAGCCCTGGAAGAAGCTTCGGAGCTCGTCCTCAGTGACGTAGCCGGACAGGCCACCGACAAAGACGGTGGTGTTGTTGGGGTCAGTGAACTGGTTCATCTGCTGGCCAGGGGGGTTGTAGGGGGCTCCGTAAGCACCGCCGTACTGGGCAGGAGAAGGAACGCCGTAGAATCCTTGCTGGTGAGGAGGCAGACCAGGAGCCATCATCTGGTTGCCGTGGTGCTGGTAGGGACCGTGGTTGCGGTTCTTGGGGGTGGCAGTCGAGATACGCATGGGGCGGTTGCCGCAGTAAACTCCCTGCATCTCCACAAGAGCGCGCTGCTGGTCCTGCTCATCCGTGAAGCGGACGAATCCGTATCCGCGCGACTGTCCCGACATGGCATCCGTCATGATCTTAGCAGACTTGCAAGAGGGGAAGCGCGCCTGGAAGAGGGACACAAGAACGTATTCGTTGACCTCGGGGCCGAGGTCGCCGACGAAGATCGAGTACTCAGGACCGCGGTCGTCGCGACGGTCGTTGATACCGCCGCCGGACGCCCAGTTGAGCTTGAAGGCGCGGTTGGAGTTGGGAACGGGAGTTCCGTTCAATTGAAGAGCCTTGCTGGCCGCATCGCTGGACGTGAACTCGACGAAGCAGTATCCAGCGTTGCCAGACGTCTTGTCGCGGATAACCTTGACGTTAACAGGTTCTCCAGTGGCAGTGAGAAAGACGCCCTTAATGAAGTTCTCGTCCATCCAGGGCTCGAGCTCGCCCATCCAGAGAGTGTTCTTATTCGCGTCGCCCTGGATGGGAGCCTGACCACCGGGGATCTCTCCAGATCCGTTGTTGCCGGGGAAGGGCATGCCACCAGAGACCGGGGTGCCGAAGCCGTCGCCGTTGGCGTTGGGGGGAGGGGCACCGTTGCCCTGAGCGGGGTTGTACGCGAGACCGTCCATGGTGAAGACTTTCGAAACTGGTAGCAAAAAGGTCAGTCAAAGCTGTCCGTGTCGCCCTGAGCTGCGGGTTGGCTGACCTACAATTCGTGGATTGGAATGATAAGTCGTTACGAGGAATTTAAGCAGTGTTGCCGTCTTCCTTCAATAGATTGGGGTAGTTTTGAGAATCGAACAGAATGAACTGTATTCAGACGCAAAACCGATACTCCGAAAAGCACTTTGTGGAAAGTCGATTCTCTCAGACGCCAGCACGCCCCGTAGAAAAACGAAAGATCGAGATGTCTCGGGTATTCGTGCCAAAAATGCTACAGCCGCCGATTAAGAACAAGCCCGAGCGATGCTTCGAATTCGACTTTTGGATCTCCTAGACTTGCGCCGGGTACCGGAAACCAAGAGATGCCGTGGCTAAACGTAACCTTTCACCGAAGATCCAGAAATGGGCCAAAGGAAGGATCCGAAATGGGAACCTGCGATTACGGTCAGCATCACCTGTCGGTCGTGTGTAGTCAGCGCGTCGCGGGCAGTCAGTCGGCAGTCGCAGTCGCATTCGATAGTCATGAGCCACGAAAATTGACAGGCTTGGGTCGGGTGTTCAGCCACAGGGCTGATCATGCAGCAAGCTCAAGCCGAGCCCTGCGTGCGGGTCGCCCACCAAGCAGCCACGCCGGTCGCTGGCAGCATCGACCCGCACGTAGGTAGCTGCCATGAAGGCATTGCCAATTCCAGCGCATTCTCGCGATTGCGCTTGCCGCATGCGCGTCTCGGTTGGCTCGTACTTGTCGTGGTGGTTTTAGATTATTTCTGCCGCAGTGAGACACGCCGAAGACATTGATA